AACTTTCTATATCTTTGTTTACATTATTTTTTGAAATAATTTTAGTGACAAGTTGCATAATACCAAATTATTTAAAGTTCACGATTGTATTTATTAAAGAATAGTTTGAGGACAATATGGATATATGGATATGATATGTATTGCAATTTAGAAACTGGAATGGAAACAGTCTAAATAACAGTTATCGCGCTTTTCAAATTTGATTGTAAGTATGTATCTGAGTTAGGTACGTTCTTGCTAGGAATATTTTAAAGTTTATGTAGTTTAATCATAGGTAGTATTATAATCAACATAATTAATATAACCATCAACTCTATTAGGTAATATAATATCAAAGTATCAAGGTTACGTTGTGCAAGGTCACGCTCAAAAAATCCATCTAATAAAATCTGTGTCAAACATATTCTGTGATCGATTCTCGTATTTAATGGTGTTAATTATTTTATAATTAGATTGCGTTCTGCATATCTATTTGTTTTCAAATCAATTCAATGTTGTAATTACTTTGAATTGCATTAAGTGCACAGTGTAGGTTATATTATTATGTAAAGTTGACTTAAGATTTGCTAGTAACAAAGTAGATACTTTGTCCTATAACTAACTAAATTCGATTATAATAAATTAACTAGTAGATACTAGTTCGTAATTGAGTTTAAAAGTTTCGTTGATGTCGTGAATGTGTGAACTTTTACTATGGGAACAAAACCTAATTCACGAAAAAATATTCAACTGTTTCATACAAAATTACTTAATGTAAAGTTGACTTAAGATTTGCTAGTAACAAAGTAGATACTTTGTCTCCTATAACTAACTAAATTCGATTATAATAAATTAAATAATATAAATAAACTTTAACTAACAAAATTAAAAGTCATATTTGTTATTTGATAATTCAATTTTATAAGATAAAATAAATTGTGTCATGGGTCAGAGAAAAAAGTATATGCAGAGTTTAAAAAAATATAATTGAGTAATATGAAGGTACAAAAGGCGTTAGATAAATCAAAATAAAACATTGAACTAAATACACTGACATATTGACTTTTCTAGAGTATAGTTGAATTTAGTTAGTTAGTTCACGACTCTATGCTCTACAATTAGGTCTATTTAGGAAGTATTGCAGTATATAACCATTGTTCCTAAACAATTATGTATAAATAATTTTTAGAGATAATAATATAACATATAAAAATTACACTTTAAAGGATCATTAATAATTCGTTAATTATTATAAATAAAAAAAATACGAGTTTCTTATTACGACACTGCGTATCTAATAATGATAGCCATAAAATGTAAATTTATTATGTCAATCATTTTATGTGTAACTAGAAATTCGATTAGCGTTTTAAGGAGGCAATATTGAATAATTTCAAGTACGTTTTTGTAAGCAGTAAACAAAATATATTTTTGACTGTTGTCTTAGCTGGTTTTGTAATTTAATCCCTTCGGCTTCTTCTCTTTAGATGACGATATTAGATGTCATTCGAACGGCCACGTATCGCCTGAGTCACATTTGATCACCAGGGATGACTTATTTCCAAGAAATGTTTTTATATGAGTCAGTCCTCTCAATCTCCAATTTAGGTAACGAGACTTCGCACATAACAAGTTCAGATGTTGAACAATTTTAATACAATCTATATGAATGTCTTATACCTTTACATAAACAAATTAAATATAATAACAGTATTATAATTAATAATGTCGACAAATACAGACATTTTTATCTGGAGACTTGTATACAGACCGTCTAACACTCTCGCTTACAATAAAGCTATTTGAAAAAGTGAAAACCAAACTTTTTTACAAAATGTAATAATAATAAAAAATATTTTCTCATTAAATAATATTCACACATTGATTGATACAATGAGACGTTCTTAACAAACCAAAATCATTTAATCGGTCTAGGCCGTTACAAAGTGCTTGTCAAAGTCGAAACTCTGCCACCAGTACCTCTAGTAAGAGTTTTTCTTTGATTAGTTTTCATTTTAACGAAATTGGTGAAATGTATGAAGAATCGAATTTCTCAATATAACGGATTTCACAGCTTTATTGTGGTCTCTTTTACACGTTTATAAAAAGAGAGAGGCAATGAGTACCTATTCGTTATAACGTCTAGTATTCGTTTTGAAAACTATCTTTGTCATATTTTGTTTCTGTATAGGTATTTCGTAATGGCGCCTATTGCGGAAACCATAATAAAATAACATTGAATAGTTTTCGAGAAATTCTAATGGAAAACGATAATTATCTTAGTTTCGTCACTCGATAAAAAATTTCAGGTGAGAAAAAGGATTGTTCACTTATGAATCACATAATTTTAATATATTTGATATTGAATTGATTGTTTTTCTTAAGTATGTAATTAATAACATAATGGCAGAATAGAGCCAGTGTGTGTGCCAGTTTGTTGGAAAACTTACTAAATTGTACTCTTAAAATTAACTCAAGATAATTAACTTCAAATAAAATACCTATTGGATTATCTACACAAAAATGTGGAGTAAATAATTTTATTTAATTTTCTAGAATAAATTATATTCCGACATAAGCGTATGTTCTAATCCAAGAAGCTGTTTTACCTATTTGCATAAGACTGACAAGCTGAACTAAAACACTACCGTTATCAATGTTTAAGTATTGTTAGTAAGGTTATTGTCATCCGAATATGCATATTTATTGTGAGTATATTGTTATTGGCAAACGCCAATCAATATATCAATATAAAAGGAGTAATTCAAACTAAGCAAATGCGTTACCTTGAGTTTGTCTGACTGTATATTAAAATTTACAGCTAATTGATGGCACACGCAGTAATATTCCTGGCATATAAATATGTTATAGTATACGTTGTCAAATGTTCTATAATATAAACATAACAATTTATCGATCAAGGATAATGATTCGAGGTTAAGCAACTTTGGCAAAGGTGTGTTTTCGTCGTCGGACGAATGTCCAAGAATTTTTCACCTAGAACTTTTACATGTTTCGGAAGGCACATTAAAGATTTCATTCTTCGATTACTTTTTATAAACTATACCTTCTACATGTGTATATTACGAAAACTATAAAATAACACATATTGGCACTAATAATATTATAACAGTATTTCATAAAATATAATATCTGTTTGGGTTTGATAATTTATACTAGTTGTAAGTATATTATCCTCATAGTTAATGATAAAATAATTGGTTGTGTTTTTTTTAACGAAACCGTAATTTTGAAAGATACCAATGTATTATTTTCGGTCGGTAAGATATACGTACGTACGAAGTGGTATAATGACACTGAAGACGCTTGCTGAACTCAAAACCTGTTCTGAGGGACGGATTTCGAACTTTTCAACGTTTTGTGTATAAAATGTTTTTAAGAACCTTGCATGGTCAGCTTCACGATCGCTTTCAAACATTATGGTAAATGAACTCGGATAAGATCAAAAGTATAATAAATAAAACTGACTAGATTTCGCCACAGTTCGCTATGATTATGTTTCATATACTCGTACTTCCCACAAACTAATATTAAGCATAAATAGGTAAGCATTATGTGTAAATTTTAAGTACATACAAAAGTTTTCGGGCTTTGCGAATATATTTGATAAAAATCGGATAAAGTGAAACACCAAACTAATAGATACTTAATACGCAGCTAAAATTATTAAGCGTACACAGCATTATATTAAAATTCTACAGTTGATTTTATACAGTTGCCCATTAGCTGTAATACACTGAGGAAAACTAGTAAAGATCATAAAGCTTAGCTCGCATCGAATCAATTTTCTTTTTTCGTTCGGCGCTTAAAATTTTTGGTATTTTTTGTACGTGCTGTGAATGATCTCCTTTCACAGTTTTGTATAACATGAAGTGCTGTTGACTGTACATCCTAATCATGAATTGGTTGGCCGTTAGTTATAAATTTCGTATGTTTTAAGTAAACAATACATCTGATGAAAAATAAACTATTTTAATCATCACTAATTTCTAAGATAAAAAATGTCTAAACTTCAAAAGATATTAGTTTAATACAAGCTCAGACCACAATACGAAAAACTGTATCGGGTAAAATATGTTTATTTACCATACTTCAATACTTAACGAATAAGTTTATGTTTTGAGTTTAGTGGTTTAAGATATCATTAGTCATATGATACATTGTAGTAAATATTATAATAGAAAATAAATCATTAATATTTCATAGACAGCGAGTGGGTGTCAAGTTTATGGTTACTGCATACGTTACAATAACAAGTAGGTACCTCAATTTACCTGTTTTTGTGCCTCGAAGTAATGTTTTAATGAATCAATATTTTATTCTACACCACGTAGAACACGGGAATACAATGATAAATGTATAACTAATGCAAACCTTATCTCAATATCGCTAGAAACAAATATTTTCCAGGCAAACAAGATAGGTAGGAATTGACATCACGGAGCTAATACCGATGTCATACACGCAAACTACGAGTTAATTGGCAACGATTACTTCTGATGCAGTTGAATAGATGTTCTTGTTATGAAAATCATAGAGAAAAAATAAACGCGGTCTTTGAAATGTGATTTCTTTGTCTAAATGTAAATGTGTAAATAGTGATTAAATCTATAACGGACTTTTGCTTGCTTTGAAAATTAACATACCTAACGAGAGCAAATATGTACGTTCAAATTAACGTTAAATGTAAATTCTATTATAAAAATTGTATTGTGGCAGCAGAAAAAGACTTTCTCCTGTGTAGATATTTCTAAAAATACTTTTTGGAATTTTTATCTAGATACGAGTATTTTAGTCTACCTTCTGCCCTCCCAAATTAAAACAGCCTAAAAGCCCAGGATGAAATATGTATTACTGGACACAATCGGATATTCCTGATATGATCTCGTACAGCTATGCCCCCCATCCGTCAAAACATGTTGTACCACCGTAGAGATATTAAGAGACCGTTATATACTCTATCTTTTTGTATAGATTGTGGTTTATTTAATTAAACTCACCTGTTTTCTAATCATGACGTGGCTGACTCGGCCGCGCACGCGCACCGACAGAACAAACTCCCCGGGGTGCGCAAGCGACTCTCGTACTAAGAAAGAGCCATTCTTGCCCTTTTGCATGATCAAGCTTTCCGCCTCCTTAGCCGACATGGTCCCGTGAAACCATCTAAAACAACAAACAAAAGTGTCACTCAAGTTGTACAAAAATCATCAACTAGCTAGACAATATCATAACATTTGGAGACTCCATTTAAGCAAATTTTTTGCTTGTATTTGGAGATTCCGCTCTTCACTAGCATAGCATTGTGTTTTAAGATATTGAAATTTATAACAGTTTAATAAGAATTTTTTGAGGTAAAAAATGTGTGTGTTAATAAATGAGTTTTATTATTATATTTGATCAATCATACATTACGATTGCTACACTGGAAAATATTCTTAATTAAAAATGCTTATAAAAACACTTTGCCCTAGTTTGTAAGATGGTATTCGAACCCACGACCTTTCGCAATCCGGGCAATTCTCAATAAGTTTTAAATTAGAAATGTATGTGAGTAAAATATGCCTTTCTAAAAAGGTGAAGTAAATGCTTTCAGCTTTATCCCTGTAGTGTCAAAGTTCGTTAAACTTTGATTTGATAAAGTTGGAAATACAAAACTACTAATTATAATATCGTGGCTACATGTATATAAATATATATGTACTAGCCGTTTGCCGCGACTTAGCCCGCGTAATTTATAGCCAGTCATCCAAGTATGATGTAGCTTCACATAGACGAAAGAATTTTTATGATCAAACAAAGTTAGATACTTTACTTATGTTTATAATATTCATTATTTCATTAACTATAAAGAATAACAGTTAAAGTTATTTTCTGTACAAACCGTTTCTGAATTAGACGTTTGTTTAATCCAATCAAAGAAAATCAAATGGACAAGGTTAAAAATTTAAGAAGAACAATACTTATACGCTTCATATTTTTTGTATTCAAAATGCTAATAACATTGCTTTATGAGTTTCGACCAAAATACTGAGTTGGTAAATGGATACATACATATTTGATAAGTTGTAAGGATTTGTTTTAATATTGATGCATTTCCCGATGACGATTAATAAAAATCTATTTTCACCGTATCATAGAATCGTGTTCATAGTAGAGAGTGACAACCACTTAAAATGACTATTATAGATGTGTTTACGATAACGTAATTCCCCTTGTTAGGTAATTATATTTGCTGGAGAAGTCTCACTACAAATATAAATTGTAAGTTAATATTCTCCATAAATAAATAAAACTATTGGACCTCTCTTAAAAATATTTCGCAATATAAATCTAATATTATCGGAAATGTATAATTATTGCAGTTTATCTAATTATTTTTTTATGTCCAGACACATCGGTATTCATTTGAATAGGGATGATGACTGGGTAAAAAAAATGTAATTCTATTTAATCCGTCAGTCAGATAATAGAAAAATATTAGATACGTATTTTTTTTTTACTTCAATTTAACAAGAAATATCTTAGATAACAGGCATTAAAGTTGAGGAGTGGGGGCTCGCTACGTCACAGTTGAGTAGAAAACGTACTCTAACGTGACGTCATGCGAAATTTCAACTCAATGTAACGCCGTAATTTTATGATTACGAAAAAAATAAAAAAATACATGTTTAATATTTTTAAACACTCTACCTGACGGATAAAGAAACAAAAATAAGTCCTCATCCCTATTATCATATTTTAATAATACTTTTGAACACATTTCATAATATATGTTAATAGTGGTTAATTGCTTAGACTTAGATATTGGCATATATAACTGTTGACGACAACCACGTGCCGAAAAATGTACAGATCGAACGACCAATCACAGCGCCTACATTAGCTGAATTATCAGGGAGCCCATTGGCTGCGTAGGCGCCGTCCGCACGGTGGGGGCGATTCCCCCACCCGGCGCGCGGGCGTTAAACGCGCTGTGATTGGTCGGCCGCCGCGCGTCACTAGTATCTAAGTTAGATGTTAAGTTTAGAATAAGGGTAGGGCCAAATTTGTAAATATTTGTAGTCAAGTCAAGTCAGTCAAGCAGTATAGTCAAGCAGTAATAAGTAGCCAGTAAGAAGAAAAATAAAACGTCTATAGAAGAAATTCGTCTTTGTTTTTCACTATCATCCACGGTTATACAGCATCGTCTACAGTTTGGTCCTTCGAGCCGGATCACCACCCTCAACAGTTTGGTCCTTCGAGCCGGATCTAAACACGTATAGAACCTCCGAGATCCAGCCAACAGTGAATCAAGATGGTGCTTACAAGAAGCCAAGACGAAGAAAACCAACGTCGTGTCTTCGACCAGCCGCCGAGATCGCCCTCAAGTACACCGACCGTACGAGGACGCCTCGAGACGGGTAACGCCGGGGAGAGCCTACGCACCGCACCGCAAGTTTCGCAACTAGTGCCTAACGCGAACCGCGCTGGGGCAGACGTTGCCGGAGCACGCGTCGCCTTGGCAGTGACTACGCAGCCGCCGAGCGGAGCGGACGAACGCGCAGCACACCCAACGGACACAGCGGCGACTACTGGAATAACGACATCTGCGATGACGTCATCGGTGCAACCGGCGAGGAGAGTGCACGTCGCGCGTTCGACCCGCTCGGCAGCGAGCAACGCGGCACGCCGGAAGCTACGCATCGAAGCAGAAGAAGTTCTCGGCGTCTTATGGCAGCCAGTCTGCCATAAGACGCCGAGAACTCGAAATTGAAGCGGACCTCATAAAAAAGACGCTCAATATCGAGTTAGAAACACTAGACGGAGCAGAGAGCGAACCCGAAGCTGAAGAACCGACAAATAAATTGCAAGATCGAGTGTTCGAGTGGCTCGACGACGCGAACGTCGACCAACAACGGGGGGAGCTCTCAAGAAGACGATGTACGTCGCCATCGAAGAAGCACCGCAGCGCAGATACCTTTCGTGCCAGGAAGCCCACACGTTACCTAGCTGCCCAAAATTCAAGCAGCTAACGTATGATGACCGATGGGAGCTGGTGAAGAAGGAGGGGCTCTGCTTCAAATGCATCGTGGGCCGACACCGTCGATTGAACTGCCGACAGAAACTCTGCGGAATCAATGGATGCAAGCGACCGCATCACCGACTGTTGCACGCAGATGAGCGTGGAACGACGAACGACGTGGCTACGAGCGCGACCGACTCAAACGCGGCCGCAACGGAACCAGCCACCACCGAAACGACGACGGCTGCCACGACGACAAGCCGCGCCGTCAAATTGAAGATTTGCCCCGTGACAATCACGGGCAATCGTGGGAGCTGCGACACCTACGCGCTCTTCGACGAAGGCTCGACGGTCACCTTATTAGACAACGACCTGGCGCGACAGATCGGCGCCGACGGACCGACCGCACAGCTCAACGTCCGAGGAATAAATAAGAAGCAAAGTCACGTGCAGAGCCGTCGAGTGAAGATTGGAATAAAAGGAGCGCGCAGTGACCAGATCTTCAAAATCAACGCTCGCACCATGGTGGGCCTGGACCTCACGCCGCAATCGATACCGGCGGAGGCGATGAAGCTACGACACCTAAGAGATCTCGACGAGCGAGAAGTCGTATACAAGAATGCGAAGCCTCGCATTTTGATCGGGACGGACAACTGGGAGCTCATAGTGACCCGTGAGCTACGGTCAGGAAAAACAAAGGAACCAGCTGCCTCCAAAACCGAACTCGGATGGGTAATCCACGGAACGGCGCCATCGAGATCGCTTCGCCGCACCGAGGATATCCTACATGTCGTCACGACCGAAGCATCAGACGACCGACTCGAAGAACTCGTGTCGAGACACTTCCGGATCGACTCGCTCGGAGTGTCGCTCGACGCATCACACGTCCGCGAAGAGGACAAGCGTGCCGTCTCCACGTATGAAGGCGCATACGCGGTGACAGCTGACATCGAGGAAATGTTCCTGCGAATCAAGATACGCCGCGAGGACCAACCCGCACAGATGTTCCTGTGGCGCGACTGCAGGCAGAATGAACCACCGCGCAAGCAGCGCAAGAAGATGACATCAATGATCTTCGGCGCATCGAGCTCACCGTTCCTCGCACACAGCGTGAGGGACCACAACGCGAGACAGCATGCTGAGACGCACCCTGCAGCACTGCGCGCAATCATCGAAGCGCACTACATGGATGACTTCGTCGACAGCTTCAATGATCCGAGAGAGGCCCACAAAGTCATCACCCAAGTCGACGCAGTGCACCAGAAGGCTGGATTCCACCTGAGGGGATGGAACAGCAACAATAGGAAGCTACTACAAGCCGTGAACCCGGATAGTAGAGCCAAAAGCGGGACGACGACGTTTGGAGACGCAGAGAAGACATTGGGCCTGCTTTGGGATGCGAGTACCGATCGGCTGGGCTTCAACACCGCCCTGCCTAGAGTCCCACTGCCAGTGAAGTCTCGACAACGCCCGCCGACGAAAAGAGAAGCATTATCGACGGTGATGAGCATATACGATCCGCTCGGACTGCTCAGCTGCTTCACAATCACAGCGAAGATAACTCTTCAAAAACTATGGCGCCTCAAGACCGGCTGGGACGACCCTCTACCATCCGACTTGAGCGAGGACTTCGATGCATGGTTGACAAGCCTGCCAGCAATCGACCAACTACGGCTACCCCGTAGTTACAACGGGGGGAGAGAAGTGCGTCGCCGTGAGCTTCATGTATTCTGCGACGCCAGCGAAGAAGCCTACGCAACGGCGGCGTATTGGAGGTTGCACTACGGACCCGGCCATGTCATCGAGACAGTTCTGATAGCGGCAAGAGCTAAGGTCGCGCCTTTGAAGACCCAAACCGTACCGCGCCTGGAACTTCAAGCGGCCCTCATCGGAACGCGACTAGCGAAAGCAATCAGGGAAGAACACCGTGTCAACGTCGACGACACCGTGTACTGGAGCGACTCTCAGACGGTGCTTCATTGGCTGCGGAATGGAAGCAAGCGCTACACTCCATTCGTCGCACACCGTCTGGGAGAAATAACTGAGTCATCCAGACCGCAAGACTGGCGATGGATACCGACGCATCTGAACGTAGCCGACGTCGCCACACGCGCCGGATATACGCCAGCCAACGAAAACGACCTGTGGTTCACGGGACCAC